CTTGGTTATATATATACACCTCAAATGTAAATGTAATTAACAAGAAAAGTAAGTAAATGAGAAGAGGATTATTCAGTAAAACCATTCTTCTGTTTTCCTTTGTTTCTCTGGTTTCTTTGGTTTCTTTATGCTTATCATCTACCACTTTGGTCGAATGAAAATCTGTCCAGAAATTGCGTTCAGTGTTCTCATTATATTCACTTTTCCATTTTGTATCAGTACATGTAACATTTTATTTTACAGTTCAAATGTGTAACCAAAATGAGTTCCCACCCTTCCATATACAAAGCTTGCCAATGACCGGCAAGTATTGAAGAAAACACTATCAATATCAAGTGTACAATGCAACAGAATTCAGTTCGGATACTTTTTATTTTGCATATGACGAGTGATCATAAATAACAATGTTGTCGTCCATTCCCAAGCTACAGCAGAGCTCATCTCAATTTACAGTGGCGAAGAAACCACCCCTCTTTTGCATTTGAATGGCATTGACTCGTTAACCTCTGTCGTCGAATCAAATGATAAAAAGGAATCGTTAAATGCAAGCCACTGTAGAAAGCAAGAAGAAATATGCAAATCTTGTGTGTCAACCCATCACTATCAATTTGTTTTAAGATAGGTACGGGAGGACGATGAGCAACTTAGCTTGAGTATGCTTATAGTGTTTGAACATGTCAATTTTACTTCAAAAATCAGCATAGTAGGCAAAACCAGAGCAGCAGTGACCATTAATAGATACTTACAGAATTGAAAGTGTCAAATCAGAAAAACTGAGAGGACAAATACAAAGTGCAATTCTGGTAATATCAATTATTTGACGAGAGCCACAACCAAGAATATAAACCCGCCCAACAAGAGACTCCTCTCTTTTCGCTAGTACAATACAAACACTAGAACTTCATTGAGACTTTGGTTCAGAACTTACTGTTTCAGGAATGTCAATGTCATACTCTCAATGATCGACACCCTCATCAAGGCCTTTGGAACTGATCATCACATTTGAGTCAATTTGTTTGTCGAACTTCTTCTTCCTCCTTGCTTCAAACTCTTGGAATCCTTCCATCTAGATTTTTATCTCAGGGTAAATGTTCAAATCCACATAGAAAGTATTGCTGGGAAAAAAAAAAGGACAGAATTAAAACAAACATCAGGAAAATGTGGCATACCTGCTGAAACTGATCCATTGATATAGGGTTTCCATGCAGGGAAATATTCTGCAGAGCTTTACAGTCTTTCAACAGATTAGTAGGTATCTGTCAAACAAGAGAGTTATAAATTAACACAGGCATGGCCAGCCACAGAAAAATTATAGGAAAGTTCAACATCCAAAAGTAAATGGTGAGTGAGTGGTGAAGGGGCTGGCAGACATGTCTGCCAACCACTAACAACATCCAAATTTAAATCTATAAATTAGTAGAACCAGTAAAAGATTTCCTTCCAGGGAGCCATGTCTCGATTTAGCCATCACATTACATTACAAAACTGTACTAAGCACCCTTTTTAAGATGGGTAGGGGTAGGGGGAGTTAGGGAGCGCATGGAAACCAAAAGCCCAAGAAATACTCCAACTAGTCATCTTTTATGTAGTTAAGAAAGTCAAATGAAACTCGTGTGATCTGTACAAACTATACCTGCTTCACATTATTATTGTCTAAGCAAAGTGCCTTTAAGTGGACAAGGTTGCAGACTGATTCAGGAAGATCTTCAATTGAATTATCTGAAAAGCAATCCAGAATCATGAAGCTGTGAGAGGTAAAAAAAAAAAAAAA